GAGGGAGGAGGAAGAGGGAGAGGGAGAGGGAGGAGGGAGAGGGAGAGGGAGAGGACACAAATCTTGAAGGGAGACACAGGCTCCTTTTGGTTGGAGATCAGCAGCATCTTTCCTGCTTCTCTTCTCATCCAATGGGGAGTGTGTCTGTTGTTAGCTGGTGTCTCTGCCCTCAGGATGGTGGAGGTACCCAGGGTGTCACTGTGCCAGGTTTGCGCCCTCTGGGGAGAGGGAGGAGTTAGAAACTGGGTGCTGGAAGATGGCGATGAAGGTGACCCAAGATGGAGGCTCCTGCTTTAATCAGTGGGTGTCAGGTTGGGTGGGGGGAGCCTGGCGATGGGGTTGGGTGGTGAGTTCCGCGGGGTTTCTGTGGCTTGCAGAGCCTGTGTGAAGTTCCCGGATGTAGACAGGCTACTGCGCCTAGGGGACTGAGTCCACTGCTGCAGAGTCCCAAGATGGCGGCGACCGGGGAGCCCCATGTGGGTAGATGGGGGCCACACTGGGGTGGCAGCCAGAGTTCCTACTTGTGGGAAGCTGCGGCGTGTCCTCCATGGGAGTGGCATCCGTGATTTCTCCTCAGGTAGGTGGCTGGAAGTTCTGTGCGGGTGCTGTCACCGCCGCCATTGGTCTCCCTCAGAACCTGGTAGTCCTGCGTGGGCCAGTAGTTGGGAGATCTGCTGTGACGCTGAGGCCTGGCGCCTGGACAGGTACAGTGCTTCCTGTGCTGGGGGTTAGGGGGTAGGGGTGAGGGGGGCACAGGAGTATTGCTGGCTGAGAAGCCGTATCATCACAACTTGTTTCCCAGGTCACGATGCCGTAGAAGCTGCCACTCCCCCACCCCCCCCTTCTCGCGTCCCGCCATCTTGGTTCCCCCCACTTCCTCCTATAGGCTTATAGTGTCCCTGTAGGGTTCCAATCCCTAAGGAAACAGGCAAAAGAAGGGCACGAGTAAACTACTGCCATTGTCCAAGCCCAAGAGATAAAGTGAAGGGACTCATCCCAAGTGTCCAGCAGGGACCTGTGGTGACTGGTACCCAGGGATGGCCCCTGTGACACACACCTCCTGGGAGTCACTGACCACATCACCCCCCCCACACACACTGATCCCACGCTGGCCCTGCTCATGTTTTCACCGGTGGAAAGCTTTGCCTGTGGAACTCTGACCTCTGAGCCACCAGCCTCCATCTCTGCAATACCGCGCAGCTCTGAGCTGCCACATGGACGTCAAGCTCTGTGTGAAAGGGGCCCCCAGGAGAGATGCCGTGGAGAGAGGAAGCCCTCCTAGTGGCCTCCCATTGATTCCAGGCCCAGCAACCATCCCACTGCACACACACGGAAGACTGCAAGTCAGACCAGCGGAGAACCTCCCAGACAACCACACAACCAAAAATTAACGGGCGACTGTGGTAGTGGTCGTGGTTACTTTGACCACGAGGCTGTGGGGTGGTTTGTTTGCAGCAACAGGCAACTGAAACGGAAATGTAAACACATCACATCAAATAATCGACTTTATTAATATCACTAATAAATTGGTGTGGCCAGAATCGCATGCAATCATCCAGAGGCCCCTTAGTTCCTGATAAAGCAACTGAAATTTGCAGTGCTTTTACTAGGTAATTTTCCCAGATCTGTGATTCCAGAATGACTATAAACATTATTTGCCCCTTATGCATTGTTTAAAAAACTGGTTCTACTCACATGATTTATGGGCAAACTTCCTTTTTCATCGCGGATACCATATTTCCTGCCGTATGCTTGGTGTTCATTAAACAGATGCTCTGCTCTATATAGAGGACGAGCAGAGCCAGACTCCAGGGCTGTCTTAAAGGGGCTTGTTACGCTTTGATTTACTGTCTTGAAACCACGGGCGCTTGGACACTGGTCTTATCATGCTCTCTGGGGGGATGGCACATTGAACACGTGTGTACCTTACTCTGTGCATCTGAGACTTCACTTCATCTATGTTTCACAGGCCGGGTTCTGTCCGCACCCCCTCCTTTGACGTCCTGTCCCCAGTTCCTCAGACGATAACCATGATTGGAGATGTCTTTAATGAGGTGATGAAGACAAAACGAGGATGTTAAGATCGAACCTAATCCAACCTGACTGCAGGTGTCCTTGTAAGCAGAGGGAATCTGGACACACAGAGGGGACACTGGGGACAGAAGAAAGACCATCAAGGACACAGAGAGAAAGTGGCCCTCGGCAAGACAAGAAGAGAGGCCCCAGAGTCAAATCAACTGTGCCGACTCCTCGATTCTGGACGTCCACCTTCAGAACCGTGAGTTGATGGTTTTTGTGTTCAAGTCACCAAGGCCACAGTAATTTGTCACGCAGCCACAGAAACACTGCAGAAGAGAAAGTGGGTCTTGTTTTCTTTCACCAGGGATTGAGCCCAGGGATTCCTAACCACTGAGCCACATCCCCAGTCCTTTTTATTTACTTATTTATTTATTTTAATTTTGAGACCGGGTCTTGCTGGAAAAGGAAGATTTTAAACACTTCGCTCTGGTTTTCCTTTCCTGTCTAACAAGCTACCCTAAAGCTTAGGAAGGGACGGCGATGGTTTTATTTTGCAGATGACCTTGTGTTTCACAAAGAGTCCAAACCAGCGCTTGGTTATTTTCCGTGTTGCTTCGGTTGGAGCTGGGGACCCACCCTTGCTCCCACGCTGCTCCCTGGCATGGCTGCCCGCTCTGCCGGGTGGACTGGGCAGCTCAGCCTGGCCTGATGACTGCAGCCTTTGATTTACTTCTGGGGAGGCTTCTCACGGGCTCCCTGGGTCTCTTCCCAGGGTGGTGGCTGGATCCCAAGAGTGGATGTTCCAGGGGAAGCAGAGCAGAGCTTCCGTCTCCTGCAGCCTAGGTGTGGAAGGTGGGAGCGCGGTGCTTGGGCTCTATTCTAGTGGCCAGCAAAGCCACCAGAGCCAGTTCAGATCCAGGGGAGGGGTGCAGAACCCACCAGGAAATGAGAGGAATGGTGAAGAATTCACGGGCAGCTTTAATCTATTACAGACGTGAAACACAAAGATGGGGGCACATGTAGGAGGTGATCACAGAATCCCAGGTTTGGAAGATGAAATAAACTCACTGAGAAGAACTGAGAAGTGGACTCTTGAGCACAGAGAGGGGAACCAGTGGAG